AATTAATTGATTAAAACGGGGACTTTTAAACAAATGACTGATACAAATTGTACAAATCCTGATAAGAGTTGGCAAGTTCGATAGACGGACGCATTCGATACGGGTTTCCTGAACGGTTTCAATACAAAACAATAAGCCACTCTCTTAACCAGAAGTCGTAATGGGTACTAATTCCTATGACAGTAAATTTCCTTTACAAATCCACATCTTGGTATAGATCCTATAAAACAATAGCTCTCGACTTGGACGAAATTTTAAAGTTATTCACCATTTGGAAGGAACTTGAAAATTCCACTAAATTTTAATAATTCCGAATATCTGGTGTTAAGTAAATGGAGCTAAACGAAAACGTGGATCTCTATAGTCAGTTATCTACCAGAGAAGCCGGTGCCTGTTGTGAATTCCGTACCAGTATAAATACCAAGTTTTAGATAGTTATTTAGAAAAATATAGCTAAAATCGCCAAAATACCGATTATCGAAAGTTACCGTTATAGAGGAGCTATACGAAGACGTGGATTTGTACAGGAAATTTTCTGTCATAGGAATTAGTATCCATTACGAATTCCGGTGAAGAGAGTGGCTAAAATCGTCAAAGTACTGAATATAGATAGGTTTCGTTATATAATGGCCATACAAAAATTTGGATTTCTATAGCCAAATATCTGCCAGAGAAGGCGTTCTCCTTCCAAACTCCAAGCACTAAGTTTGAAATATTTATGTTAAAAAATTTATCTGAAATCTTCAAATTACGAATATCGGAAGTTACCGTTATTTCGAGGCTGTTTACCTCCATAGGCAATTTTCCGTCATAGTAAGTAGTCCCCATTACAAACTTCAAATACCAAGTTTAAAAAATTAAAAAATTTATCTGAAATCTTCAAATTACGAATATCGGAATTTACCGTTATTTCGAGGCAGTTTACCTCCATAGGCAATATTCCGTCATAGTAAGTAGTACCCATTACAAACTCCAAATACCAAGTTTGAAAAAATTCCGGTGAAAAGTGTGCCACAGTTCATCAGAATACGGAATATCTGGGGGTATGGGGACTATACCAAAATACGGACGTGTATGGACAGTTCTATGCAAGAATGTTTCCTACATGGGTTATAATTGTTACTAAAACAACTAGACGGTCTTAAATCCGCCGTTAAGTTATATGGGGTGCCATACCAATAAAATAATTTTATGCTGATCAAGAATATAATGCTTTATGGGGTCTGAAATGTATATTTCGAGGTATTACAAAAGGAATGTCAAGTTGATTGTACCCTCTATACTGTGGTAAAGGGCGTAAAAATTCATTAGTATTGAAAAGCCTATTTATTGACTCTCCAAAATATATTTACATACATATATCAATATGTTTTGTTTGTTGGTACAACTAACAAATATTTTATTTTTGAAAATCTTCTATCGATGGCTTCTGGAACCTGTTCTGTTAAGCCTATTACAAAGTCAATTCTAGCGTATTCCATTATACGTGATTGTGACAAACAATAGGCTGAAGAATATACAAATACAGATAGTAGCATTGACCTCGCCGTGTCATATTAAAAATGTACGACTAAAATGTTTTCTTGCGATCTCGGATGTATTTGTTTTAGTGGTCGTTTTTTAATGTCAGTTTTAGTCAACAATTTTTTAAATGAATGCCTTCAATAGGAAGTATCGGATGCATTTTTATTGTCATATCCGAGTCGGAGCCTATCCAGCCACAGGCACACATAGAAATAATGGCATAACGAAATAATGACATAACAAAAACACAAAATTGTTGTAAATCTGATAAATAATTTTAGAACAATTTAGTAATTGGCAAAATTGTCTTTATATTATGAGTTAAAAAATTGATTTAGTTAAATTTGGCATTGTTTTTTATAGCCAGTGTCTTATAATTTAAACTTGAGATACGACTGTGGTGTTCATATCTGTACGTCTTGCGCACTCATTCATTTCTTATCATTTACATACATCAGCAAGAAATTACAATGAACACAACAAATATACTGTGGTCCATTGAAATACACTGACAACAGAAAAAAATACTTATGGAGTAAAATGTAGGTGACGTTACTACTCCCAGATTAGATTATTTAAAAATGATTCCCCGAAAAACAGATTATCTTTAAATAATTACATTGGTTTACCGCATAAATTGCCGACTTGAGATCCTCAAATTAGCTTGTGTGTAAATGGTTTAAAGAAGCGTTATTGGTGTTAATCTTCTTTAAAAACCATTAAAGATGTTCGCAAATAATTAAAATGAAAATTATATATAGAGCGAGTTAATATCTTGTAAAGTGGATAGAGATGTGTAAATATTCACGTATTTGTCCAAATTGCGGGTAAAAATTATTTTCGGTATTGAAATGCATGTTTTGCTATAACCCCATATCTCGACATTTCTTTTTTGAATGTTTTTTTTTTTTTTTTTTTAATTATATGACAAAACTAAACAATAAATTTGTTGTAGTCACACAACAATTGGGATTTAGCCAACCTTTACCGTAAATATTATCTATAGTAATTATGATTCTCTGTAAAGGTTTCAAACTATTACCGCGATTTATGTACACATTCGCATGTATATGGAATGAATACATCCAGTGAAGACGATGCATCACACACAGCTGCGGGTCGTATTGCATTGCAAATATTCTATAAAATTCATAAATTTCTCTTCCATGTATGCCTTCATACATTCATTTGCAGTTATTAAATATAATTGAGAAAAATCATTTTCAAAACTGAAGCTAAAAAAGAAAATTGAAAAACTGAAATTAAATAAAACTGAAGAAAGATGTGATTGTGCCAACCCCCTGCCAGAACTTCACGCAGAAGATAACGGAAAGATCGACCATAGCCTACTTAAGGACGCAGTCACCGACGACCTTCTATATTATTTGCCTTCAACGATAGAGGTCATATCTGTCAAATCGCAAATGTCTGCAACAGCTACAACCAGGCCCTCTCCAGCCTCCACGCCATTGTATGATGGCTATGCCACTATAAGAGGCAGAGGTTTGACTAGATCTCTATCGATACGAGCCAAAGAACTTGAAGCGGCCCAACAACAGGAGGAGGATAACGAAACGGTTCTACATGGTAAAAATGTTGTTGACACTTCGTTGGGCAATGAACGGAAGAGAACACAGTCATTACGCACTGATTTTGAAAAGCAACAATCGCCGTATAGAGGCATTAAAACGGACAAAAATAACATCGGTGGCAGTATGTCAAAAAGCCTTCATCAAGCAACGAATTTCACCAAAGAAGATGCAAATATTTCCCGAAATTTGGCTAAACCGGTAAGAACTCCGACAATTGGGGATATCGAGCCGTTGTATGCAACTGCCAATAACACATTCAGACCTTTATCCGATGCAAGCTCCTCCTCGGGCGGCAACGCTTCAATGTTTGGTTGTCGCGATAGTGTGGCAGGTTCTTCCGGATCCGGAAGCATAAATGCAGACTACCAAAGTTTGAAGAAGAATTCAAGGTTTTCTTTAGATTCCCTGCAGAGTTCGACTCTTAAAACTCCCGACTACGCAACCGCCGATGAAGATCAAATATTTCTATATACTGCACCAGAATCGCCAAAACGCAGGCTGGATAGCGGAATAAGAAATTCGTATGACGATTCGTCTGACCGGGGTTATTCGCCTTTTCATAAACAATCGTTCGAAATGCAGGAGTATCCTGTAACCCGGACACCATCGGAACATTCCCACTCCTCTAACTCGCCTTCCAAAACATGCAAAATTTCCCACCCATCTGCCCACTACAAACGTGTGCAGTCGATGGGCGAATACTCACGACGACTAAGTGCTCAGTCAGGGCCTTCATTTCAGAGAAGTGATAGTGAGAGCCCCCCATATGGTGTGTCCACACGAAGTCCTATCTCTCCCAGTCATTGTACTGCAAAACCGCCACCCACTCCGGTTAGAAGAGAAAGCCTTTACGCAAAGCCAAAGATTTACGCATCACCTACCAAAAGCCCCTGTCCTAGTCCATCTTCAGTCTCCTTAGAAAAGAAACCACCAGTTTCATACTACAAACCCCCTTCGCCACCTCAACGCAGTTCAAGTGCGGAGATATTAGAACGCTCATACACCAGCCATAGTTTGGTCACTTTGGATCAAGATGAAATCTTGGCGGTACCTTGTGCCATGCCGGTGTTGCAAAACCCCTCTGATCGCCGATATCATACTTTAGGCCACATGCGGGTAAAGAGTTTGGGGAGTAGTCTAAATCGATCAACCGATTCACCCATGGGTTCTCTAATGAACATGATGTCCGGAGCATATTACCACGGCAACGCTAGTTACGCGTATCATCCCTGCAACAGTCTGCATCCAAACAAATCTGCTGGAAATATTTATGCTTCAGCTGAGGCCGCTGTGGAAGACTTAAATAGACTTGCTCCTGAATACATGGACCCACTGGATTTTAAAATTGGCTGCCAGACGACATTAAGAAGCAAGCCAATTATACCATGGTATGAATTGGCAATACGCAAAGATTTAAAACGCCAATCTTGTCCACCCATAAGCAGCAGCATTCATACGAACGGAACCCTGACATTAACACCAGCGAGAAGTGTGGATAATCAGGTTAATACAAATTGTAATGTTTTTTATGTTGCTAAACTCCTTTTACGTCTACATTTTGTTTCATATAATGTCTTTGCGCTATTTTGGTATTTGCTCATTCTAAATTATTGAGGAATCATGCAAATAAATAATTTCTCTGATAAAAAGAAAAAGCATTCATTTTTATCTTCATAGCATGTATTCATTCAATTTTTTCAGCAACTCTTTGTCAAAAGAGAAACGCGACCACCCAACAAATAATAACTCAAACAAACTAGCAAACTATGTTGGGATGACTGACTTCAGTATAATCGAAGAGCATAAAGAGATGCATTAAGATTGCAAATTATCCATTTTCCTTCTTTGGAACGGTAAACGACTTCTGAACGTCTTTGTACATACCTGTATTATTCGTTTCTTCCAAATTTTACAGAACGTTTGTAAAGCAGGTTATCGAAGACAAGAGGTTTTGTGTACAATTAATTTCGCAATGGCGATGGATTAGATTGATTTAATAATGAACACTATTTTCTGTTGAGCAACATTTTAAATTATTTTAACAAATACACAATGCTTATATGTTACTTTTTGTCCTGTACATTTTTACTAGTACCCTCTACTTTTGATACCATTTTTTCGATACAGTGTAATCTTTCCCACTAATTATTCGGGAAAACAAAACGAAAAAAATAGAACACACACACGTCAAAACAAACATAACGGGGAATGTTTGGTAATAAATCGACCGCCGAAGTCATAACAATTTATGTATTGCGTACGTCTTGTCTAGGAGCTTAAAATTGTTCTCACAACTCCTTTAAAAAACACAACCGACAATAATATAATACACACAGAACTAAAACAAAACCTTTTTAATTATTCTAACAACACCTTTTCAAAAAATACGCAACCGCCTAGCAAATGACACGCACGTAACTAAAACAAATTCACAAACTGACAAATGGGATGAGCGACTGCACAGAGAGCACAATGAGATGCATTGGGCTCAGAAATTAGCACGAATAGTGTATAATGGGAGAATTGGGCACAAAAGATGTTACTCCTCTCTTTATGGGAGAGATGAGGGAATATATGCTGTGAGTGCGTATGTACATACCTGTAGTATTTCTATGTTCCATTTTTTCTCAAATGGACAATTAATTTCGCAGTGACAATAGATTATATTGATTTAATTAGGAACACTGTTATTTTGGAACACTATAGGAACACTATAAATTGAGCGACATGTTGAATTACTTTATGAAAAATGCAATAGAAATTAGTTATTTTCTGCCTTGTGCATTCTTATTAACATTTTTTTTTCTTTTTTTGATACCACGCGTCAACACAAAGATAATCTCAAATGACGGGTAATAAATCAGCCACTGAAGTCATAACAATTTATGTAGCGTGTTTGCCTTGCTTGGGAGCTTACAAATTCTTTAAAATGTCCTCACTACTACTTTACAAAAAAAATGCAACCGTCTATCAAATGATACGCAAAGAACTAAAACAAAACTTTTTCAGTTCTAATCAAAAACGAAACGCAAACTCTAACAAACTAAAACTAAACTAAAAACGTAACTAAAACAAACTAACAAACTGACAAATGGGATGAGCGGCAATATAAACAAAGAGCATAAACAGATGTATTAAGATCGCAAATTGACAAGAATGGTGTTTGATGAGAGAACTGTGGCTCAAAATATACCCGCTCTCCACAATTGGGGAAGGTAAGGGGGTTTATATAGAGAGAATCGTGTCACAAAATATATCCGTTCTCATTTATTGGGAAGGTAAAGGGGCATATACTCTGAGTGTGGTGTAAATACCTAAAATACGTTTTTAACAATATTTCTCAATTCGTTAGTAAAGGGTTTCAAATAAATCAATGTTTTGTATGCAATTGTTTGTTTGACAACAGGTATGTGTTGTTCCGAAATAATAACGAGATTCACATAATAATTTCGAGAAACAAAAAACGTAAATAATATGCACCAAAAATGCGTTCATATTTGAATTACATAAGAAATTTTTACAATACAATTAGTTTTGTAAATTATAATAATTCCTAAAGCTTAAATTTTATGTCCATTGCACCATTTGACAAAGGATTAGAAAAACCATTGTAACACCGATAATTTATGTAATTCCTATCCATTTTTTCTGCTATACGATATAAAAATGTTAATACATAAATTTATTGTTTTTGGTTTTCAGGCTCATGTGGTAAATGCATTTGAGCAGTCACTATCCAATATGACGTCACGGCTGCAGCACTTGACAGCCACAGCAGAACGCAAAGACGGTGAATTAACAGATATGAGGCAAACAATTGAACTTTTACGCAAACAGTCGATACAGGCTGGCCTAACAACTGCTCACATGCAGAGCATGGGAGTTCAAACACAAAGTCAAACTCAAAACGACTTACTTAGCCAGAAGCCACCACCACTGCCAACTTCAATTCCCGGTCAGCATATTTCACGAGCAACTCAGCACAATTTACAACAACAATCAAGCTCTTATGGTCAAACGGGTGCCATACAAAGACATCACAGTTCAGATTCCATGTGTTCTGTCAATTCCATTGGCTCGTCGTGTTCCACACAGGACAAGAAACAAAAGAAAAAGGGTTGGCTTAGAAGTTCTTTTACAAAAGCTTTTTCACGCAATGCAAAAATATCGAAAACTAGTCGACACGGTATAAACATTCATGGTCAACAAAATACCAGTCATACAAATTCCAATGACAATTCTATCGCAGCTATAACCGGCTTGAATAAAACAAACGGACATATGCAGGCAGATACTCAAGGTCTCTCAGCTTTAGCTACACAACAATCTCCTCCGTTGCCTACATCCCCAACAAATGCGTGTCCAACCAAAACTGTCACCCTGATAGACAACGCTAAGCCTATAGATGCCATTGAACATGAGGACACTACTCACGTCGTGGAAGATTTAAAGAAGCAACTTAGGGAGAAAGATTTGGTTTTGACCGATATTCGTTTAGAAGCACTAAGTTCTGCCTCCCAGTTAGAGATCCTTAAAGAAACGGTCAACAAAATGAGAGCCGAAATGATGTCGCTCAAACAGAACAATGAACGACTACAGAAAATGGTCACCAGTCGTTCTTTGGCTGGATCTGAGGCCTCTTTAGGAAATGCAGTCAGTCCCAATGGATCTATAGGTGAGTCTAGACGGTATTCACTAGCAGATGGCAATACTCGACCTCCAATGGAATTGCCAAAACGTTTAGAAGAGGAAGCGGAGGAAGATAATACACCTCCAGCACCGGCACCAGAACCGCCACCACCTCCACTATCACCAACCACTCATATTGATCTTACACCACCACCACCTGCTCTAGATACAATACCTAGTCCTGCTCATGTTCCCACTACCGCAGAAGAAATGCCAGATATCAATGATGGCAAAAAAATTGCCATAGCCTGTTACCTTGGTCAGCCAGAATCGTTTGCAAAGTACTGTGAAGAAATGTTGGAGGTAGATGACTTCTACGCCAACACATCCATGATTGGAAGTAATTTAGCCGAGAGTGGGGAACGTAAGTCTTTCCCTATAACTACTCCTAACGAATTTGTCATCGCCTATACATATATATCGGGCAAGACATCATGGCAAAATCTAGACTACATTGTGAGAAAGACCTTTAAGGATTACGTATCACGTGTTGATCCAGGCACTAATTTGGGCCTTAATACAGATTCCATAACATCGTATCATCTAGGAGAAGCCAAGCGAGGCCCTGAAATGGGTTTTCCGGAATTGTTGCCATGTGGTTATATAGTGGGCAATGTTAGGACTCTGTACATATGCCTTCAGGGAGTTGGAAGCTTAGCTTTCGACAGTCTCATACCACGAAGTATTGTTCACCGCTACATAAGTCTATTAACAGAGCACCGTCGATTAATTTTGTGTGGTCCTAGCGGAACCGGTAAGTCGTATTTGGCCAGACGCTTGGCAGAGTTCTTGGTGGCTCGCTCGGGAAAGGGAAATCCTTCAGAGGCTATTGCTACATTCAAGTAAGTTTTAATTGTTATCTGAATACAGGAATAATTTATATTATTTACAATATTAGCGTGGACCATAAATCATCGAAGGAACTGAGGCAGTATTTAGGCCATGTGGCGGAGCAGGCAGCTATTGCGAACAGAGCATCGGAGTTGCCCTCTGTAATCATCTTGGATAATTTACACCATGCTTCGGCATTGGGAGATGTATTCTCATGCTTATTAAGTGCAGGACCAGCTGCCAAGCTGCCATGCATAATTGGCACAATGTCTCAAGCTACATGTAATACAACTAACTTGCAGCTTCATCATAACTTCCGATGGGTAAGTATTGTAAATAGAAAGAACTTGAAATGAAATGAAAGTATCATCTCCTTGTAAGGTTTTGACGGCAAATCACATGGAACCAGTAAAAGGTTTTTTGGGACGGTTTTTACGACGCCGCTTATTTCAATTGGAATTGCAAACCCAACATCCGCAGCCCGAGCTGGCGGCTGTTCTAGCCTGGCTACCCACAGTTTGGCAGCACATTAATCGCTTTTTAGAAGCACACAGTTCTAGTGATGTAACCATTGGCCCACGTTTATTTTTGGGATGTCCCTTGGACTTGAAGGAGTCTCAAGTTTGGTTCACCGATATTTGGAACTACCATCTGTCGCCTTACTTAATAGAAGCAGTCAGGGAAGGTGTGCAACTTTATGGGCGCCGCGGTGGAGCTTGGAATGATCCCTCAGCTTTTATACGTAATTCTTATCCCTGGCCTTACGGACCGGATTCTGTGCCTCCCCTAAGGCAAATTAATGCCGAAGACGTTGGTTTAGAGGGTGTAGCAGCCAATAGTTGCGACAATCAAGACCCATTAGTAAGGCAGCATTGATTTCAAATATCTTTAATACAATACTAGTCAATATTTTATTTATTTGCAGTTGAATATGTTAATGCGTCTACAGGAAGCGGCTAACTATTCTGAAAATCAAGACCAGGAGTCGGACTGCGCTAGCCTAGACTCCAACATAACACCCGATAGTTCAGCTGGAGCTGAGTGAGACCATTTTTAAAATATGATTGATGATATTGCAGTCAAGACAATTTCCAAAAATAAAATGTTGATGAGGCCATTTACGTAGTTGAAATACATCAATCGACTTTATTCAGTCATAATATTAAATAAGATACGACGTGCATACAGAACTTATACAGCTTCCTCCCAAAGTTCGTTTCATACTCATATATGTGTACATACATAAGATGCCAGTAACCAATATCTTAATATGTCAGTTTTACAAAAGCATTCGAAATAAGCTTCTTATAACTTTTGTTTTTTACCACATTTTTTACGAAAACTAAGAAATTCAAGACTTATTAGGGAACGCCAAACTATACAAACTTATGTATATTTAAATCAATTTCACTACTAAAACAACTGGTAAAAAATTCAAAAAATTACATTTCACAATTTGTGCATGCCAAACTACATAAAACCCAAACACACAAAAGATATTTTCAAATTTCATATCACTGGAATCTGAACATACCTAGAAACATATAACGTCTTCTGGCTACGAATTTTTCATTGTGTTTCGAAAGCTCTCCACATTAACTAAAAGATTGTCAATCTCTTAATCTCCTAGGTATTTTTATATATAAATATTTTTTTTTTTTTTTTGTTTTTTTGCATTGAATTTTCGATATGACATCTTTTATTTTTTGAATCCTGAACTTTTATTTTATATCCTGAATTTTATTATTATAAAAATTTGAGGATGAATATTTCCTTCTATATACATACAAAAAAGCTCAGTATGGTGGGTAGTATGACCAAATTATTAAAATAAATGAGACCATATAATAAACTTAATCAAACAAACGGTAAAATAGTTCAATATAAATCCATCATATTCACATTTTTAATGTTTGTTACTTATGTTCAATTTATAGAAGCACAAACATACGTACCTTCAAATTGTTCTTTTTTATTTTAACTTAAGCCGTTTTCAAAATAACGAAGACTATTGAAAAACATAACAAACCTGTTCACCACGTTGGTGCTTTTTGTACGTCGTTATTTTCATTTAGCAACATATTACATTAATGGGATATTCAATGCGAACAATGACTTACACTGCTTTCTATAAATAGATATTCCACAATAGAAAGCAGTTGTTTAAGCAAGCACAGCCTCTAAACATGTACAAGATTACAAAATTGCACTTTTTAGCTGCACTTGTTAAGAATGCAAATTTTTCGAAAATCACATAGCACTATAGTTGAATAGACACATTCAATCTATGAAATTTGAAAATATCTGTTGGGATTTACAGCGTTTTTAAAACATACCTATAAATACAAACATGTGACTAATGCTAGAATAGGAAATCAAATGTAATAGCTGTAATATTATAATATTTGCTTCATCTTCTTTATAGGCAATATAAAAATAAACCCCCTTATCACAATACGACCATTGTCGTTGTCCGATAATGTATAAAATGTAAATAATATAATACTTATAAGCCAAATAAATATTCTAATACAGTAATATTTTCTAATAATATACCAAAATATGCATTAAAATTATAAACTGCTTAATAACATCAGAGAAAGGACATCTGGACTGTACCCGAATAAAATAGCCAAAAATAAAATAACCTGTTTTGTGTTCTATGATTTGTATTTGAACTTTATTAAAGGTATTTACCTTAACATAAATACATGTATTGTTTTTAATATAGTTAGTTATGTTCTTGAGCTAATTTTACTCCCGGTTGCTTGAAGTTGCTTAATAAAAAATATATATTTCACAAAACTAAGGGATGTTAGAAATTTCCTAAAACAAATAATCACTTTTTAAATCACAATTATGCATTTTATCTTTATACTTGCACGAATACAAATCATAGCACATAAATATGTAACTTCAAAGTCGAATTTTGACTATAGGAAGTGTAAACATGCCATAAAACTTGTTATTCTACACATTATGTTTAATTGTTTATATGCAGTTGATTCTATTTATGTAAGCGTTTATGCCAAAAAAATCCAAATGATACCCTTTGTGAGTCACTATTATTCATCATTTTCTTAAATAACTTAAATGCATCTACTCGATATTAATTGTTTCACTGTCAAGATAATCGTCATGAACCGAAAGAAACTAGGCAACCTATTAAATGATTCCGAATGATGGAGTGGTGAAAATATTTAGGTTTTGAGTTGAGTTTCGTAATGTTGTGACTTCAAAACATCATACATCCCTTGTAGGCCTTGGAATGAAATCGAATCTCCTGCATATCATATTAAACAAGGTAGGATACTGAGTACGATATCATCTAATAATATATTGAAAAATTTATTTGTAATCAAACGAAAACAAGTTGTAGAATGTATTGAAATGTAAAATCAAAATAATTTGTAACGTAAACTTATATAACAAAACCAAACCACCAAATAACTACTAAAATAATAAAAATGAACAATTTTTCCAACTGATTTCTAATGTTTTATTATTCAATTGTAGGTTTTCAACAATTTATTTTGCAACTGATTTCTAATGTTTTATTATTCAATTGTAGGTTTTTAACAATTTATTGGGCTATAGGAGGCATAAACAAGTCGTCAAATGTTAATTATAAGCATTATATAATTTTTTGGGTGCAGAAGATTTTATATGAATAAACTTTTATGCTGAAAAAGACAAATAGCTTCATATGCTTACGTTTCAAAATATATTCCTTGATTTGAATGCGTATACTCAATATAACTTTTTCCCTAAGATGAATCGTAATAAACAGTCGCGTTAATGGTGTCTTGGATCCGTTGTAATATATTATGTTTATTAATGACATCATGCACTCAGTTGTTGTCTGTTTTTGGTATACAGAAGACATCCATGTTTTTTTCAGAGGTGCTGATATTGCTAGGCTATATTTTTTGGTAAAGTTTATTGTCTTGTCTCTTTCATAGTGGATTTTGTTTAACGACCTTATGATAAATTGTAATAGAATTAAGGCCATGCTGTTCAATAACCATGGTTAAGGTGGTTCTGTTAATGTGATTGTGGATCTTAAAAATAAGATGAAATATCTTGGCTGTTGTAGGAGTAGTACATATAGATGTTTGTATTCTGCTAATCGGATTCAAGCTCCAGGTTTAAAAAACTCGTCTACTTTAACGGACTGTAGTCGGAGATATTCTGGAGTGAGTTGGGTAGGTTTAGCTGTGCAATTAAAGAGGTGCAGCGTATTGTGCGGGCCTGTATCACACGCCGGGCAGACGTCACGCACATCGTCGTCAATTTGTGCCCAATACTTCTTATTCTACATTCTATTCTATTATGTTTAATTGTTTATATGCATTTGATTCTATTTATGTAAGCGTTTATGCCAAAAAAACCAAATGGTGCCCTTTGTGAGTCTCTATTTTTCATCATTTTCCTAAATAACTTAAATGTATCTACTCGATATTCGGGCCAATTACGGTTGTCGTTTCTATAGTCGTCGTCGACTTTATGTGCAAGTCGCCTCAACTGTCGCTTCGATTCAAAAATAGTACTACGGTAAGGCATGGGAGCGACATCGACAGTTTAAAATAAAAGTTGGCAACAATTAAAAAAACGTTGACAACATTCCCTTGTTATTGACAAAATAAGATAAAAATTTGTTTGTATTTTGAATTATAATTTCGTCTCTTTCGGAAAAATAAAAAATATAGTGAAAAAATGGATATTATAAATGCGTTACATATCTTAAGTTCAAGGGAGGATGAAGTGGAGAATGTATTAGTAGTACAGCGGCGAGTGCTAAGGTAGCAAAGTAGTTACATCAGTCTCGTCATCAGGATTGTCCACTGGCTCATTTTCATGATCTATAACGTCTGTTACAATTATGTTTTCCGTATTTTTTACTCCAAGTGCACGACCTGGTGGATTCAGTAACTTTTGAAACTGCATTACATTCGCGAAGGACTCCTCCCAAAGCGACAAAGTCATTTGCTTAAAAATACCACATCCAGTGCTGCTAGCTTCACCCTTATTGTGCACAATTGTTTTTTAGTTTTAAATTTAAAATCTTTCCAAACCTAGAAGAACTTTAGAAAACTAACTTATAAAATATATACAAAAATAATTTTAATTTCAACATACTTTTTGCCAGTCTCTAATCGGTGAACCGTTTACATTTAATCTTGTGGCAATGGATTCCAATCGGATTTCAAATTAACTGGAAAATGACCTTTGGTAAACCCCCTTATCAAACATAGGTTTTTTCCAATTCGGAAAGCAACATTTCAAATTGTTTTGCTGTTGTTATTTTCGCGGTCAAATATTAAATACAAAAAAGTTACAATATCAATATCGACTAAAAAATACAACAATGTCGCCACAATTTTATACGGCGATAGATTTTCTTAAAAATCGACTTCACGTCAACTGTTGTGACGACAATTATAATAGCAATCATTTGTCGCTATCGACAAAAAAACGACATCCCTAATATCATTATTGTCGCCTCGACTTCATTTTGCGACGCCGACGAGAACCATAATAGGGCCGATTAATTTTTCACTGTGAAGCTAATCGTCATGAACCGAAAGAAACTAGGCAACCTATTAAATGATTCCGAATGATGGAGTGGTGAAAATATTCAGGTTTTGAGTTGAGTTTCGCAATGTTGTGATTTCAAAACATACATCCCTTGTAGGCCTTGGAATGAAATCGAATCTCCTGCATATTATCTAATAATATATTGAAAAATCTATTTGTGATCAAACAAAAACAAGTTGTAAAATGTATTGAAATGTAAAATCAAAATAATTTGTAACGTAAACTTATATAACAAAACCAAACCACCAAATAACTACTAAAATAATAAAAATGAACAATTTTTCCAACTGATTTCTAATGTTTTATTATTCAATTGTAGGTTTTCAACAATTTATTAGGCTATAGGAGGCATAAACAAGTCTTCAAATTTTAATTATAAGCATTGTATAATTTTTTGGGTGCAGAAGATTTTATATGAATAAACTTTTATGCTGAAAAAGACAAATAGCTTCATATGCTTATGTCATGTGATTACAAAAGCTGGATCCCAGTATTTTGAAAGTCCTAGCCACATTTTTAACTAAACGGGGTACAATATAATAGGTTGAGTTCGTGACGTAAGAATATTAAGGAAAAACTATTGCCAATCATTTCACATTGTTGTTAAATCAGCATCTGCCACAATATTGATGTTACTGATGCTCCTGTTTGAATTTCACTTCTTGATGTAGTTAATGATATTTCGAGGGGCTACATAATTTTTGGCCCAATCAAACTTATAATACCCCAACACATACTGTTGTAGTATATAAAAACGAAAATACCCATTGTTCCTTTTGACGATCTCCATAGAATCACATTCTGAGTCGATTGATGCACGTCCGTCTCTCCATATGTTTTCGTAAGCAATATACAGTACTTGGTGAACATCGCTACTAATTTAAATATAGCTCCTATTTTGGCCCAATCAAACTTATAATACCCCAACACATACTGTTGTAGCGTATAAAAACGAAAATACCCATTGTTCCTTTTGACGATGTCCATAGAATCACATTCTGAGTCGATTAATGCACGTCCGACTCTCCATATATTTTCGTAGGCAATATACAGTACTAGGTGATCATCGCTACTAATTTTAATATAAAGCTCCTGTTTTTATTTCTATCCGTATTAAGGTTTATTTTGCATCGAATGTGTAATATAAAACACGACAAAATTTAGCCAGACTGACTGACTAACGGACATACATAGCTAGATAGACTCAGCTCGGCGAGATAGAACGATCCATATATACATTCCTATGTCGGGGACCAATATTTCGAGGGGCGACAAAATTTTTGGCCCAATCAAACTTATAATACCCCAACACATACTGTTGTAGCGTATAAAAACGAAAATACCCATTGTTCCCTTTGACGATGTCCATAGAATCACATTCTGAGTCGATTAATGCACGTCCGACTCTCCATATATTTTCGTAGGCAATATACAGTACTAGGTGATCATCGCTACTAATTTTAATATAAAGCTCCTGTTTTTATTTCTATCCGTATTAAGGTTTATTTTGCATCGAATGTGTAATATAAAACACGACAAAATTTAGCCAGACTGACTGACTAACGGACATACATAGCTAGATAGACTCAGCTCGGCGAGATAGAACGATCCATATATACATTCCTATGTCGGGGACCAATATTTCGAGGGGCGACAAAATTTTTGGCCCAATCAAACTTATAATACCCCAACACATACTGTTGTAGCGTATAAAAACGAAAATACCCATTGTTCCTTTTGACGATGTCCATAGAATCACATTCTGAGTCGATTAATGCACGTCCGACTCTCCATATATTTTCGTAGGCAATATACAGTACTAGGTGATCATCGCTACTAATTTAAATATAAAGCTCCTGTTTTTATTTCTATCCGTATTAAGGTTTATTTTGCATCGAATGTGTAATATAAAACACGACAAAATTTAGCCTAGAAGCAAGTGCGTAAATTTTAGTGTTCCGGATTATAGATCAAATCCCACTTTCAATAAATTACAGAGGATATAAACCTTTCCTATAGAAAATGGACAATTCAAAATTTTGATATCCTTCATTGTACATATAGGTCTCCGAATACTCCCCACACAAACCTAGATCCTAGTATTTGGAAGGTGCTAGCCACATTTTTAACTGAACGGAGTACGATATGAAAGGTTGAGTTCGTACATAAGAATATTAAGGAAAAAATATTTGCCAATCATTTAAGATCGTTGTTAAATCAATACCTATCACCATTATGATGTTAATGATGTTCCTGTTTAAATTTGACTTCTTAATGTAGTTTAGCCATATCATATAAAAAGACCATTTTTTATGTTAAATATGTTTTCGCTGCAAAATATTGATATATACAAGTATGCTTTGCCTGGTCTGTTCAAAACCGGTTCAGGTTTTAATTTAGCTCCAATATACACTGTTAAGAAGCCTTGCAAAAACTCAAAATGTTGATTTAAAAAGAAGCTACAGTTAACAACATTGGTATCTATCGGTAGGTCTTAGCGATTATATTGATTTCGTCGCTAACTTTCCGAAAATTTTCGTAAATTTCCGAAATTATAAGCATTTCAATTTTACCGATTTTTGTCGGTAACGCAAAACTGCCCTAGCCCAGTTTCCACTATAGATATAGCTATTTCTCCCATATATTTTTCATCCAATTTGAAATTGATCGATTGATTAAATTAAATAAATATATACAAACACGTTTTTTTTATCAAAATGTCATGGTATATAGGCATGTATAATATATACTGTCAAGAATCCTTTCAACAACTTTACAAAGTAAATCCATGTTTTGGAAAAATTCCGGCACAAACCTAGATCCCAGATGTGTCCTCTTCTAATTTGTGAGGAAATGGCGTGCAAAGCTTTTATTGCTCTGTGTTGTTTCC